GTACCAGTTGCTAGGACTAATTGTTTCCATGAATTTTTGTTTTCTTCATTATTCTTTGCTCTGGACGAGGAGAGACCCATTGTTGCATCTAGATGGCAGCTTTCTAGCTTTTAAGATCCCAGTCACTACTTGCCAAAGTATGAGATGGAACAGTGTTTTGTATAGTATGTTATACCAATTGAGCTTGATGTCCCCTGCAACTATGGTCCCATCAAGGCTCTGTTTTAACACAGCATTTTTCTTCCACTCGTTAAGTGCTCTGTGGCTAGGCCCACTGTCTTCCAGGAGCCCTAGCTAGTCTTCTGAGGATGCTCCTTTCTGTTAGCAGCCTATTGCTTTAACCATTGTGTCACTGGAGCCCCTCCAAAGCTCATTAAACAAAAAATAAAAAGACCAAACTCCCTGCCATTGATTTGATTGATTCCAATAACCTCCACTGGGTTTCCAAGACAGAAGTAGATTGCCCCATTTTCTTTCTGTGATGAGTTTGAACTTCCAGCCTTCTGGTTAGCAACCAAATGCCTTAGGCATTAGACCACCAAAGCTCCACCAGAATGGTTGGAGAGAGGAGGTATTTCTGATGTCTCTTTTATAGCCTTGGGCTGTTAATAATAATGATTTTCCTCCCACCTTGTGAAGTTATACAAGGAGGTAAGATACCTTCACTATGCCGGTTTTGCAAGTGCTTGCAAAACAAGCTCAGGGTCTTCCTTCTGAGATCTGATCATAATCCAAGAAAGTCCTCTTCCAATGAACCCATACCTTTAGTGCAAGTTTGAGTTAAGAATAAGACCAACAACCATATAGAAAGATGGGGAAAGGTATGATTGATAGTTCACAGAAAAATAAAGGCTTTTACATGTATGACAAGATCCTCAACCTCAAAAGAAGAGAAATGGAAGTTACAACTACATCAAGATACCAACCAGAATGAAAAATCCAAAAAATTGCTTTATCTACCCATTAGTGAGGCTATGGACAAATGCTCTTTTATAACATTCCTAGTGGGAATGCTGACTCGACGGCACATACCAACAACAACAACAACAGTGGGAATGCAAAATTGTATAATTCTATGTTATTGTTAGGTGTTGTTGGAGTCATCTCCAACTCATAGCAACCCTATGCACAGCAGAACAAAAGACTGCCCAGTCCTACATCAGCTCCACGATCCTTGCTGTATGTGGTAGTTAGGTTTGTGTGTTAACTTGGCTAGGCCTGGTTGAGTGGCTGGGCAGCTGGTGGTAATTATTCCCCATGATGTGACTGGCAATCAAGTTCATGGTGGGATCTACCACAAGCAGCTGAGTAGCTGGTTTGGGTTTGTGGTCTGCTTCCCATATATAAGGAGAAGCCTTGGGAATTGTGTCTAGCCTATGGCATGCTTGAACCCTGCATATAGCCGTGTTGTTGTTTAGCAGCCTTCCATGCTCTGCCAACCTTGGGACTTTCAATGGGCTTGAGTTAATGGCCTGCTGTGGTTTGGTAACATCGGGACTGCCTTTTTACTTGTCAACCTTGGGCTTAGCAGCCAACAGCTGTCTGAGTGAAGAAAAAGCCTCTAGCTTCAGTGGGCCGAGAGCTGGAGGCAGAGCTGAAGCCCAAGGCTGAGGGGCTTTCATCCAGCCCCTAGAGCTTGGCACTTTGAACTTGGACTTAAAACCTTCACATTGTAAGAATAAACACCTGTTTGTTAAGGCCATCCCATTTGTGGTATATTCCTATCAGAGCGGCACCAGGTAACCAGAACAGAATTTGGTAGCAAGAGAGTGGGGTGCTGCTCCGACAGATACCTAAAATGTGGAAACAGGAGTGGAGTGCATCTTTGACCTGAGACCCTGGCAGAGAGATCCCAGCATGTGGCATGAGAGATGGCAGGAGCAGAGCCAAGAGACTGGCAGAGAGATACTGGCAGAGAGACCAGCATGAAAGATAGCAGTAGCAGAGCCCAGAGACTGGCATTAAACAATAGGCTTACCAGCCCACGCAGGAGAAAGCTGGGTGTCATTGGGTAGGCAGCTTTCTGGCAGACTGGGTTGCCTTTGGGCATTAACTGGTGAAGAGACCAGCATAAAATGGAGTAGCAGGTTGGCAGGCCCATGGAGCAATAAAGCTGAATGCTTTTGTGGCAGGAAGACTTCCAGCAGGATGGGTTACCTTTGGCATTAATCGGCAGAAACAGAGAGACCAACAAAACGGAAGCAGAGCTGCCTCAGCCTGAAAGGGTAGGACCATAGCCTTTGGGGGTGGAACCACCACAACCCCTATGTTCAGAGCCAGACCCATCACCAACTTGGTTCTGGAATGTGGGGCTGCTTATTGAAGTGAGCCAGTGGGATGAAGCCATAGCCACTGCCCAAGATTGAGGGGGCGGGGCTGCCATGCCCAAAAGGGAGAGAAGTGGGGCCCGCCAGGCCAAGGGGGTGAGGTCGCCACTTAGAGGAACTAGGGGACTGGAGGCACCCAGTGGAGGAGACCTGTACAGATACCACCCATTGAAGGTCTGTACAGGTGCCAAGTTGAAAGGGGTAGTAGTATGGTAGTTCAGTTTGTGTGTCAACTTGGCTGGGCCTGGTTAAGTGCCTGGGCAGCTGGTGGTAGTTATTCCCCATGATGAGACTGGCAGTCAAGTCCATGGTGGGATCTACCACAAGCAGCTGAGTAGCTGCCTATGGGATGTGGTCTGCTTCCTGTATATAAGGAGAAGCCTTGGGAATGGTCTCTAGCTTTTGGCACGCTTGAATCCTGCATGTAGTTGTGTCGTTGTTTAGCAGCCTGCCATCTTCTGCAGACCTTGGGACTTTCAATGGATTTGAGTTAATGGCCTGCCGTGTGGTTTGGTAACATCAGAACTGTACCTTTTTACTTGTCAACCTTGGGCTTGACAGCCTCAGTAGCCAGCAGCTATCTAAATGAAGAAAAGCTTCTAGCTTCAGTGGGCCAGGAGCTAGAGGCAGAGCTGAAGCCCAAGGCTGAGGGGCTTTCACCCAGCCCCTAGAGCTTAGCACTTTGAACTTGGACTTAAAGCCACCAAATTGTAAGAATAAACTCCTGTTTGTTAAGGCCATCCCATTTGTGGTATGTTCCTGTCAGAGCAGCACCAGGTAACCAGATCACTATACTTGAGCCCATTGCCACAGCCACTGTGTCAATCTATCTGGTTGAAGGCCTTCCTCTCTTTTGTCGACCCTCCACCTTACCAAGCATGACATCCTTCTCCAGGGAATTGTCCCTTCTGACAACATGACCAAAGTTGGTGAGACAAAGTCTGGCCATTCTTGCTTCCAAGGAGCATTCCAGCTGCACTTCCTCCAGGGCAGATTTGTTAGTTCTTTTAGCAGTCCATGGTACTTTCAGCATTCTTCACCAGCACCACAACTAAAAAATATCAACTCTTCGGTCTTCCGTAGTCATTGTCCAGCTCTCACATGCATAGAGGTTACTGAAAATACCATGGCTTGTGTCAGGTGTATCTTAGCCCTCAAGGAGACATCTTTGCCCTTCAGCAATTGAAAGAGGTCCTTTGCAGTCGATTTGCCCAGTGCTCTGGTAGCATAGTGCCTAAGGCACTTGACTGCTAACCAGAAGGGTGGCGGTTCAAACCCACCAGCCACTCCTTGGAAGGAAGGTTGGGCAATCCTACTTCCATAGTGATACTGCCTCGGAAACCCAAGGAGGAGTCGCTATGAGTCGGGGCCGATTCGACGGCAAACAACAACAACAACAAACATTTGATGTCCTGACTGCTGCTTCCATTGGCCTCAACTGTAGAACCAAGCAATGTCAAGTCTTTGACAACTTCAACCTTTTCTCCATTTGTCGTGATGCTGCTTAGGTCAAGTTGTGAGGATTTTTGTTTTCTTCATATTGAGACGTAGTCCATACTGCAGACTGTATTCTTCAATCTTCATCAGTAAGTGCTTCAAGTCATCCTCACTATCTGCAAGCAAAAAGTTGTGTTGTCAATATATCACAGATTGTTAATGATTCTTCCTCCAATCCTGATGCCACGTTCTTCTTCATATAGTCCAGGTTTTCAGATATTTGCTCAGCATACCGGTTGAATTAGTATGGTGAAGGGATACAATCCTGATGCACTCCCTTCTTGATTTTAAACCATACAGTGTCCTCTTGTTCTGTTTCAACAGTAGCCTCCTGATCAATGTACAGGTTCCTCATGAGCACAATTAAGTGTTCTGGAATCCCCATTTCTTCTCAATTTTACCCATAATTTGTTATGATCCATACAATCAAATGCTTTTGCATAGTCAATAAGGCACAAGTAAACATCTTTCTGGTATTTTGCTTTGAGCTGAGATCCACCTGACATCAGCAATGATATCCCTTGTTCCACATCCTCTTCTGAACCCAGCTTACATTGCTGGAAGTTCTGCTGCAACCGTTTTTCAATTATCTTCAGTAAGATTTTACTTGCATGCAATATTAATATTGTTCGATAATTTCCACATTCTGTAGGGTCACATTTCTTTGGAATGGGTACAAATATGGATCTCTTCCAGTCAGTTGGCCAGATAGCTGGCTTCCAAATTTCTTGGCATAGACAAGTGAGTGCTTCCAGTGTGGCATCCATTAGTTGAAACCTCTCAGTGGGTATTCTGACAATTCCTGGAGCCTTGTTCCTTGCCAATTCCTTCAGTGCAGTTACAACTTCTTCCTTCAGTACCATTGTTTTTTGATCAAATGCCACCTCCTAAAATGGATAAACATCGACAAATTCTTTTTGGTACCGTGACTCTATTCCTTCCATCTTCTTTTGATGTTTCCTGCATCAATCAATATTTTGCCCACAGAATCTTTCAGTACTGCAACTCGAGGCTTGAATTTTTTCTTCAGTTCTTTCAGCTTGAGAAATGCTAAGCATGTTCTTCCCTTTTTGGTTTTCTAACTCCAGGTCTTTGCACCTTTCATTATAATAATTGACTTTGTCTTCTTGAGCTGCTGTTTGAAATCTACTGTTTGGCTCTTTTATTATATAAAATAAAAAGCATATAAGGTGATAATTTACACCAGGTCAGTACACTCTTTGGAATAATAAACGATGGGAGAGCAGAAGGGCAGTATTTGCGCAGGGAAACAGCTCAGAGGGCAAGAAGACAAAAGTAGGACACAGGGAATAGGTAATCACAGGGAAGACGTTGGAAGAGATTTATTACATTCTGGGGATTGCAATCAACATCATGGAACAAAAGGTGCATGAAGTATTGCATGGAAAATTCATTTGCTCAACTTTCACCAAAATCTATCTATCTTATCTATATCTATATCTGTATCTATATCTAAATGTCTGTGGTTCCAATCCACCAGCCTTCCCACAGAAGAAAGATATGGCTGTGTTCTTCCCTGAAGATTTACAGACTTGGAAACCCTATGGGGCACTCTACGCTGTTCTATGGGAGCTCTGGTAGCATAGTGGCTAAGACACTTGCCTGCTAACCAGATGGCTGGCGGTTCAAACCCACCAGCCACTCCTCTGAAGGAAGGTTGGGCAATCCTACTTCCGTAGTGATACTCTGTGAGTCGGGGCCGACTCGACGGCACATAACAACAACAACAACAACGCTGTTCTATAGGGTCGCTACGAGTAGGAACCAACTCCATTACAGTCGGTTCCGGGCGGTGCGCAGTAGTTACAGACGTTCGTCTCCTGCTAACCAAAAGAAAAGGTCAGTGGTTGGAACCCTCCAATCGCTCTCGGGGAGAAAGCCCGCTTTGGTAAAGATTACAGCCTTGGACGCCCCACGGCCCAGTTCTACTTTGTCCCATCAAGTCGCTGTGAGTCCGAATCCACCTACGCCACTGTTTTGGTTTACAGAACATTTTGGAGAGTTTCCATTTACGATCTAACACTCTCCCAAGAAAATTGACTTCTGCCGTTAAGAGATGCAGGGGAGATAATATGTTTCCAACTCAAAAGGAAAAACACTTTTCTTGTTTTTCTACCCCATAAGGACCCAAACTACCAATGACGCCCACAGATCCAACTCCTCCACCGCGCACCCCCTCCCAGAGGCCCCAGAGGCGTGGCCTGTCTGCAAGGTGGCGGCTACCGCCGATTGGTTTCTGTGGTGGCCAAAGACAGCGCGGCCTTCAGCCAGCAGAGAGGTGATAGGCTGCTGGAGACCCACCCTCCCTCCCCGAACAGTACTAGGCGGCGAAGCCAGTGATTGGTAAAGCCACGACTCAGAGTAGCTCTTGTTCCTGGTGTGAGGCAGCGATGGCGACTGCGGCTTGGCGCCTGGGTCGGTGCGTTGGAAGCTGGAGGCTGCGGCCGCAGTTAGCAGGCTTTGTTTCCCAGCGGGCCCACTCGCTATTGCCCGTAGACGATGCAATTAATGGGCTGAACGAGGAACAGAGGCAGGTAGGGAGATAGACTTCGATCTCAGTCCAAAGGCCTTCTGCCCAGGCCTCCCTGGCCCTGCTGACTGGTCCGCCCTCATCTGCCCAGAGCCCACCCAGCCGCAGCTTGTGTCCATGGGGCTCAGATGGCGGGGATGAGGCACTGGTCTTCATTCTTTGGGCTCTGGCCTCAGCGTCACCCCTGTGGAGAAGAGATTTGCGCCAGCAAGGCTGGGTTGATGTAGGTGAGGAAGAGATAGGAGAGGAAAGCTCCTGTGAAACTGGTGGCCCTTTGGTGGAGGAGTAGGAACTGCCTGCCGCGACAACATGTAGTCCAGTCGATTCCAGCTCAGGGCTCCATGCGTGCAGACTAGAAACGCTCCGCAGGGTTTTCAAAGCCGTAACCTTTTGGAAGCAGATGGCCAGGCCTTTCTCCCAATTCACTTCAGGGTGGGTTGAAACTAGTTTGTAGTTGAGGACTTAACAATTTGCATCACCTAGAGACTCCTGTTTGTGGCAAAAGGGCCTTCAATCTGTATGAAGTCCAGTTATATATAACTCACCACTGGTTGAGGCTGTTTTCTTAAGTCTGGTTGTTGTCATCATCACCAGAGAATCTTCTTTGAATACATATCTGGTGAAGTTCTGAAATGCAGTGTGATCTGCTGTTTTTACATTAGCCCATGGTATCAAAGCACAAAGTTGAACAAGAAATTGAAATATATGCTTACAAATGGAATTGAACCTTAGCTTTTCCTGAAGAGAAAAGGGTTATGTTCACTCTGGAGACAGGACGGTGTTCCCCAGGAAATATGATTCTCCTATGGCTCTAGGCAAGTGTGTGAGTTTTACAGGCCCTCCAAAGCCCATTACCTAAACCAAACACATTGCCATGGATTGATCTCAAAGCATAGGGACCTCTTAGGGTGGAACAGAACTGCCCATAGGATTTACAAGGCTGAAATCTTTAAGAAGCAGACTGCCACATCTCTCACCCTTGGAATGGCTGGTGGGTTTGAACTGCCAGCCTTTCTGTTAGCAGCCTATTGTTTTAACCATTGTGCCACCGGAGGCCCTCCAAAGCTCATTAAACAACAACAACAAAAAAAAAAAACTCCCTGCCATTGAGTTGATTCCAGCCCATAGTGACTCCCATTGGGTTTCTGAGGCAGTAAATCTTTTTTTTTTTTTTTTTTTAATTAGGATTTGGGTGAAGATTTACAGAGTAAATTCACTTTTCATAAGCAGTTCACATATACTTTGTCTCATGTCATTGACCAAAATTTACAATGC